ATTTTTTTTGACCGACATGTATTACTTATCTCCTGGCTAATTAGGAATAAGTAAAATTTTACTATTCCAATTAGCCAGGAGATAATTGATTTATCCCCTGCCATTTACACAATAGTAAGTGTTTTATAGTATATCGTGAGTATAATATAGTATATTTTATTGTTGAATTTACGCTTGGTTTTGTTTCATTTTAAAAATTTTAAAATAAAAAAATAAATTTTAAAAAGTTTCGGAACCATTACTATTACACTTGAAAAATAGTATTGAGATTACAAATAAATTAAAAGAAAGTTTTTCTCATTTAGAAAATGCAAATCTTTCCGAATTACTCAAATTTTCGAATCAGTCCATTATAGTATAATCAATAATTAATTTTTACCGCAAAATTTCCTAGAAACGGATAAATAAATACATATAAAATTGGCTACCCAGTAGGTATAACTACATTTGCATAAACGTGTAAATGGTGCCGATCAGGGGATAAGAGTAATTATATTAACTATATTTACTTTATATATTAACCGTTGTTAAGTCCTAAGTTCGAAGTGCTGTTCAAGGGTTTATTGTACATTATCACGTGCCGGACGGACAGACGGACATTTTAGTATAGAAGTTATATAGGAATTATTAGTATTACAACAAAAAGAATCAAAAAAGGAAAATGCTGGGGTGAATAAGGATGACGTAAGTGGATGGAAGGAAGGAATGTTACATGGGTTAAAAAGCTCTTAATCGGCCATCAAATTGCGTATATCAACGACCGAATTACCTGGTAAATCGTCTAGAGTGCATAACAATAGAATGTTCTTCGCTACACTATGAACAATAAATAATTTATTTTTATTATTCTCGCATATTGTAATTATCATTGTAATATTTGTTTATGAAAAAATAATATCCATTTTTTTGCTATGGTAATTTACTTAAATTGTTCTATTGATTTTATAATTAATTAATTTGCCTCGTTACTCAAACTAACACCATTAATACTCATTCGCCTTGGTAATTCAATAATTCAAGAATTTTTTGATGTGCTTCATTAATTCCGCCTTCGGCTGCTTTCTTATATAAATTAAACGCCTTTTCTATATCAACATCGACTATAATACCGTGAAGAAAATAATAAGCAAGCTTATATTTACCATTTATACAACCTTTTTCAGCTGCTTTTTTATAAAAATCAAATGCTCTAATTTCATTTTGATTAACACCCTTTCCTAATTCGTAAATCTCTCCTAATTTATATAATGCTAATTTATTGTCAATTTCTTCTAATCTTTGATACCAATATTTAACTTCATTTAGATCATCTATTACTTCATCAAATAAATCTATTTCATGATTATTTCCTTTTTCTGCCTCATCATACAATCTAAAACCTTTTTCATTATTAATTTTTGTCCCAATTCCATTTATATAACAATAACCAAGATGAAATTTCGCATTAATATAACCTTTTTCAGCAGATTTTTTATATAATTCAAATGCTTTAATTTCATCCTTATTTATACCTATTCCTAATTCATAACACATACCTAAATTATCATATGCAACCTCATCTCCATTATCTGCCGCTTTATGAAACCAATGGATAGCTTTTTCCAAATCCTTTTTTGTTCCTTCATTTGTAATATACAAAAATCCAAGATTATTTTGAGCATTTACATAACCTTTTTCTGCCGATTTTTCATAATATTCCAATGCTTTTGTTTCATCTTTTTCAACTCCTATTCCATATAAATAATAATTACCTAAATTATATTGAGCAAATTTATTTCCATTATCAGCCGCTTTATTATGCCAGTAAATAGCATTTTCTAAATTTTTTTCCATTCCAATTTCATTTTTATAATAATTACCCAATACATATTGAGCTGGTGAATACTCTCCTTTAGCTGATTTAAGATACCATTCAAAGGCTGACTTATTATCTTGATTAATTCCCATTCCATTTTGATAACAATTACCTAAATTATATTGAGCGTGTAAATCACCCTCATTAGCAGCTTTTAAATACCATTCGAATGCTTTATTTTCATTTTTTATTACGCCAATTCCATTTTGATAACAATAACCCAAATTATTTTGTGCGCTTAAATTTCCTCCTTCTGCTGATTTTAAATAGAATTCAAATGCTTTAAATTCATCTTTAGTTTTTTCTATTCCATATTGATAACAATAACCTAAATTATTTAAATTCATTAATTCTTTCGTCTTGTTATTATTATAATCGTCAGAATATTTGTTAATTGATCCAAAATATTTTTCCATAGAATTTATTTCATCTTTACATAAATTTATCTTCAACCCATTAAAATTTTCGAATGGATTATATGATGACATTAAACGTTTTGATTCTTTTGAATTAAGATTCTTCTTATCTATAATAATATCTTTATAATAATATAATGATAATAAATATTTTGAAATAATAATATTAATTAATTGATAAATAGAAACCAAATTTTTTTTTTTATCATTATTATATTTCTTAATTGATAATAAATATAAATTTAAAGATTTATTTTTATCGATAAGAATTTTATTAATTTTATTATTATTATTATTATTATTATTTCCTTTATTAACGATAATTATACCATATTCATAAAAAAATCCTATTAAACCTGAAAACCAATTTTCATTCTCTTTATGTTCTTCCATTAATTTTAATATATTATTATAATTTAAATTTTTAATATTATAATAATTATTATAAGTATAATAAAAATCTTTCATCCAATTCATTAAAATATCATCATAATTTTTATAATTTTCAATCTTTATAATTTGTCGATAAAATTCTTTTAAAAATTCTTTTAAAAAACTTTTATGATCTTCATCATCTTTATAATTTGAAATTTTACTTAAAGACATTTTTTTTTTTTTTAATCGTTAATGTTTTTTTTAAAAAAAAAAATAAATTTTTTTTTTGAATTTTTAAAAAATTTTTTAGTCATTATTTTTAGAAATTCAAGAATTCAACTAACTATTTTGGGTAAACCGATTACTGGTATTACAGTTACGCTAATAAATGAAATGACTAAACTTTAGAAGAAATGATCTCTTACAATATAAACCAATTTATGGTTAGTGAATATGATGTAATGTTATGTAAATTTCTAATTTATTACATCATTGCTGACTCATATCACATGATGGGAAAATTTTATGATCACCTTCGATTTTTTCGTAAAATGCAGAAAGAACAAACCTTTGGTGGATTTCAGTATTAAGAACTAAAATAATTTCCCTTCAACATATTAATTTAATGTTAACTATAAACTTTCTAACCATCTGTAATTAGTATTGATTCATGTTAATGGTGGGCTTGATAATATGGGTAAGCTTGTAACAAACTGAAAAACATAGTGGGATTAATTTATGTTGTTTGTTATCCTATATCTTTACTTATTTAATATAGGGAAACGTTAAGTTTTCAGTTTCACTTTTTTTTTGAAATTTCGAGGTATCTCAATTATTAATATACTTAAACCATATATACCGTATAGGAGATAGGTTCTTAGGATTTCGTGAATCGTGATACTTGTAATTGTATTATTATTTTTATCGTTAATTTATGATTTGAATAATTTAAAAAACTTTTTAAATTATTTTTATTTTTATTTTTTTTTTTTTTTTTTTTGTCATATATTCAAATTTATAGTTTAAGGAGTGCTTACCAATTTTTTTCTTTAAGAAAACAAGAAATTCACTCAAAAAGATCGCTAGAGCGCTTGTATATATTTTTTAATAAATTTTTGAAGACCTTAATTCTGGCCGATTCTGTATGTGTTCAATTTTACGTATTGCATCACCACCGCACCCTTTTTCCTCTTTTTACTTCTTTTTTTTTCTTTTTAAATAGAAGGGGTGTAGATTAGGGTTGGGCATCATCAGATTTGTTTGTGTTCAGTATTAAAGCATTTGGTTTTCAGGTATATCCGAAATGTCATTATATTGCGTACTATACGTGAGAATCTACGACAAGTTGGTATGCTGAAGAAGTGCCGGTCAGCCACGGAGAGGTCCAATCCTCAAGTATGAAGTCGACGATAATTCATTCTTTAAAATAGATGGAAGTCGGTGAGGAAATATCGCCAGCATTGCAAATACTGTATATTTTGGTCCTTAATAACACACTGTATACTTTACACATATTCACATACCGTAATTAATTATTTATTCAATCTTATGTAAAATAATTTATGATCTTTAATATAATTAAAAAAGTTATCTGGCGCGTCTCACTTTTAGACATTTCTTGAAGATAGCGATCAAGTTTATATCGAACAATATCAAAGTATTGAATTTTTCACGATTTATAACTTTTTTTGAAATAATTCAAATGCCTTTTTTCTAATTAATTTCAGTTTTAATTCCATAACAACAATATAATTCGATTAAATTATCTCTTTCCGCCGATTTTCATATACAGTAATTCAAAAGCTTGGATTATACATTTTCAAGATTATATTATTAATCTTTTTGAAATAATATAAATAAAGCGTCTTGTGTATTAATACCAATTCAATTATAATGTCCAACCCTACGAAAAAGAGATGTCCGGAAATTGCTAGAATGTCCGGTCGATAAGTATAAAATTACAGTAAAGTAACTTTCCCGGTGTCTAGAAACCGTTCGGAAATGCACCGAAAATCCAGAAATTATCTGGGAAAATGAGATCAAATTCCAGACAAATTCCGGAATTTTTTTTTTTATAGGAATTATTATTTATCAATTAAAACTTTAATGCATTTTTACTAATTAAAAAAAAATATCAACCCGGATCAATTTTCTATTTTCGTTTTTTACCATCTTAAGAATTACGATCAGTTAAATTATTGAATAAACGTATCCTTAAAGATTGCTTAACAGTATAACAAACTATTTGTTTATAATTGGCCGATCAGGTTCAGTGTAAAGTGGCGAGGTTTTTTTCCGACGAATAATCAGTTAGATATTATTATATAATCTTTAATATTTTTTTGTTTATATTTAAATAACTTATTAATTAAACGTTTGTTTCTCATACGTATCATAAAATTTATATATTGTACCAAACTAAATAAATAAATTTTAAATGGTCAATAATATTTAATTTTATTTTTAATTATTAGATTAATTTTAATGGACGACAATTTTACGGCTAAACGAAAATAATATTCGGTTGAATCCGGATAAGCCACTGATTTGACGAAATACATGGCAAAAAATGGTATTAAAAGCATATTATAATTTAATGGTAAGCTCGAATAATTTACTAAAAATAAATACTTGTTTATACTGCGTGAGATATTCGAATTTCTTATTTATAAAAAGTATAATAAATTTAATTGTACGAGCAATGGGCTTATTTTTAATAGATAATAATATCATATTAGGGAAAAGATGTATTAGTAATAAACGACAATCAAACTAACTTTAGATTGACTTCAGATCTAAACTAAAATAGGCTTCGTACAAAGTTATGCCGCAGCATTATTTGTTAAAAAAGCCATATTGTTAAATCTTTTTCCTAGTTATTGAAGATAATTGCCAAATACATCATTATAAATCATTAATTCCAACATAAAGAAAATAAAAAATAAATTTTCTAATTTCGAATTCCCGCTTTGCATACTTTACATATTGATCTTCACTTATATTTGCTCTCAAAAAAGTTATAAATGTAACTTTGAACGAGTCCGATCAATTTCAATTTCACTTAATTTCACTTAAAAAATTCATATTTCTTTTCATCTTTTTAAAATAAATCCTCGAGAAAACGCAAAATATGGGTAAAAATATCGTCGTATTGTGTGATGGTATTTTGGCTGGTTCGAATTCCAGAACTAACGTTTATGCATTATATAAGGAATTACTTGAGAAAAAACACAAACAACATGTTACATATATAAACGGGGTTGGAAACGGAAAAGTGCCCCCGAATTTTATCAGAAACGGAGCGGCAGCTATAATTCTCGACAAAAAAATCAAAGAAGGTTACAGATATATAATTAATCATTATAATCCTGGTGATGATATATGGCTATTTGGTTTTAGTAATGGTGCCTACATTGTTAGATGTATTGCTGGAATGATACGTAATTGTGGAATATTAAAACTTGATCGGATTATTACACCTGAAATTGATAAACGTATTGATCTAGCTTATGATATTTATCGTAATCGAGATATGATTTATCACCCGGATGGAAGTGGTTCTTATGATTTCAAAAAGTCATTCAGTTATCCTGATTCTGAAAAACCAATTATAAAATTTCTCGGACTTTGGGATACTGTTGGTATTCATGGTTTACCCGGTTACGTAATGGAAAGTCTTAAATATTTGGAATTTTATGATATGACTGTATCTCGTATAGTTAATTTTGCATGTCAAGCTTTAGCCATTCATGAAAATGCTTATTTATTGGAACCTTATCGTATACTTCCAAATAGTTCTGGTACGGTTACTATCAAAGAAACTTGGTTTCCTGGTATACATGATGAAATAGGAGGTGGAATTGGTGGTAATAAAAGAATATCTAAAGCAACTATTTTATGGATGATAGAATATATCGTACAAGTTGGAGGTTTATTAATGTATAATGATATTGAGACTTATCGTGTTCGTTTCTCTCCAGATTCTGGACCTTCTTGGAACATAAGAAATCTTTTATTCGATCGTAAAAATGACACTATCCCAAAGTTTATGTTAATGGATAGAATTATTCCATTAGAATTAGATCCTAGTAAAAAATGTCTAAGAAAAGATTTACTTTATAGAGATGGTGACTGGTTAATTCCATTTGATACTAGATCTCGTCTAATTACTCAATATGCTTCAAATACATATGAAGAATTACGTAAAATTATGGAAAAAAAGGATATTAGTTTGTATAACAATATAAAATATGATAAAGATGAGAAGGAACTCGAAAAGTCTCGTTTAGCTCGTTTATAATAATATTTATATTAAAAATTATGAAAAATCATTTTATAAGATTTATTTCTTTTTATTTAAATAATTAGTTTAGTTAATTAATATTTTTTATTTAAACATCTTTCTTTTTTAATTGTTTTTGTCGGTAATAGTAGTACTTTTAATAAAATAATTAAAGAATGAATATTCATATTGTTATTAGTTGATGTAATGTTCTATTATTGCAAAATGAAATATTTTCATTAACTTTTTTTCAACGGATTTAGAATCACAGCAGCGTACATATGCTATTCAAATTTTTGCCGGATTTTCCGATATCCGATTATTCCGATAAATCCGTTTTTTCGGGCGTGATGCAGCGGATTTCTGATAAATTTTATAGATGATTTATGTGTAGTAATGAACACATTAAATTTTTTTCATTTTTTCATCTAAATTGTACAAACCATTTTTCTATATCATCATAAGGTAACCAAGAAAATTCTGGCTACCATTCGATTTTAAACGCTAGAATTTTTTAAAATATCATATTTGCGGATTTTCAGAATTTTTGTCGTTTTGATTGGTTTTTGACCGACCGATATCGGTCACGGTCATGACCGATTAATGACCCATCCCTAAGTCAAATTATCATTAATTCTTTTGACGTTTAAAGCTATATTGTATACAGTTCTCGAAAAAAGTAATCGGAATTACAAAAAGTACAATAAATAAAAATTCAATGATTAAAATTGCTTCAAAATTTCCAAATTTATTGGTAAATGTGTAAATATTATGCATATAAAAGTTCAGCCCTTTATCTCTTTTCCTCGTCTCTCAATCAATTTTTAAATTGAGAAAAAAAAAGTCGTTAAAAATTTAAGCTATAAAATCCTAAAAATTCTGGTACAGCATTCAAATAGTAGTTTATTAAGGATTGGATGATATAAAATAAAGCTTACATAATGTTGATTCTAATAAAAAAAATTTCACACTTTATCATTTGTTGGCTGTTGAAAAATTTGAAATCAAAGTTTATTTTCCGTATTGATCGGCAACCGGCCCTAACCCCTAATATTAGTTGAAAGGCAAAATTGGATTTAAAATATAATAATTATAAAGGATTATAATAAAATCTAATTAATATTAGATAAATAATATTTGATTTATTTGAAAAAATATCAATCCAAATAAGCTTAATGCTTTTAAAATTGAGTTTTATTAATGATTTTTGAGTCAACTTTAATCCAAATTTACTGAAAACCTGATTAATTAAATGGCAAAAAAAAATTTTAATAAATTAATAAAAGATATTCCTTTATGTTTATAATATTTTATTACAAATATACATGCATCTTATTAAATGTTTGAGAACAATATCAAATCTTTATAAAATTTACACCCTGCTTAAATTTTTAACGATATTTTTTTTCAAATTAAAAAATCGATTGTGAGACAAAGAAATAAGATATAAGGCTGAAATTTTATATTTATAACCTTTACATATTTAGCAACAAATCGTCGAAATTTGAAGTTATTATAATCACTGGTTTTTATTTTTTTGCATTTTTTGCAATTCCGATTACTTTTTTCGAGAACTGTAATTGTATGTAATAAAAAGTCATAATGAAAAAATATTTGAAACCGATATATCTATAAAAAAAGATTGACAAAATTGCTGATTAAAATTTTAAAGAATTTTATTGGTTCCGATAAAATTAATTTTATTCTGGTTACATGTTTTGATGCAAAAAAAATGAATTTCCGGATCTTTTCGGAAAATTTCCAAAATTTTTCAAAGATTTTTTGCACAGACTATTGAATAATCTAATGTCAGAAAAGAAAGAAATAGGCGAGACGTAAGAGATAACACGTATATTTTTTACCGCCTTCATCAACAGATTAATATCTATTTCTTGATCAAATCGGTTTTTCCTATCGACCATCAACCATCGGCTATCAACTTATTCATTTTTTATAACATCAACTTAAAAATATTTAAGTCGGATCTAATTGTTTGAATGGTACTATAAATTCTTCCAATCAACTAGATATAATAAAAAAATAGTGTTAGTTCAATAACACATATTGTTAATAAAGAATTACAAACTTACTGTGTAAATTTGAAGATAATTGATCACATTCCGAAGATTCGGCACTAGCTTGCAATTCCGAAGTTAAATTATCATTATCTATAATAAACATATCATTGTATTTTACTATTTTTATAAATATAAATAAAGAAAAAAAAATATAAATATGAATACCTTCGACTAAATTACTTGTGACATTGTTTCCAAATCCCATTTTTTCAAATTCATTTAATATTTCATTAATGGTTGGTCTTTGTTCAGGTTCTTGATTCCAACAATTTTTATAAAGCTTCCCATATTCTTCAGGAGTACCAAGAGCTGTAACTTCACGAATCCCAGTATTAATGGAAATTGCAAGCGCAACTCTATTATCATTATCTTTAAATGGAGGAAACCCACTAGAAATCTCCCACATTAATACACCGAAACTATAGATATCTGAAGATTTAGTATATGGAAATTTCGGGTTTATAAGGCGTTTTGGTTCCATATATGCAATAACGCCAAAATTACCAATATAAGCCATTGAAGTTTGATTATTTTGATCTTTTGAAATACCAAAATCTGTAATTTTAGCATTACTGTTATGAATAACTATATTCTTAGAATGCTAAAATAAATTATAAAAAAATATTATTACTATTTAGCACCATCACGATATTAAAAAATAAATAATAATACTTACAAGATCTCTATGCAAAATATTTTCATTATGTAAGTAATTTAATCCATCTGCAATTTGAAATGCTAATTTTTTCTTATCATTCCACGTTAAATTCATAAAATTTTCTTTGAGATAATTTTGAAGATCTCCACCATTAGCAAACTGCATTATTAGATGATATTCACTTGTATTTTGATCTAAAAAAAATTTGCAATAAATTAAAAAAGAATGAATAAACAAATAAAAAACAAAAAACAAAATGCATTATATAAAAAACAATGTTCCAAATTACCTAAACTAATACCAAATAATTGTATAATTCTATCACCATAATTAAGGTGCAGATGCATTTTTAATTCATGTTTAAATGCATCCAACAAATCATTCTTAATATGAGTTGTATTAGTCAATTTTTTACAAATAACAAAATTATTAGTTTTAGTCCAAATTGCTTTTGATATTTTTCCAAACCCCCCTGCCTGAAGTGGCACCACCTCTTTTAGTTCTTTATAAGATATAAATTTAACTTTTTCATACTTTAATGCATTTTCAATCCATTCAGTTGCATTTAAATTTCCTTCTGCTTTTTTGAACCAATAAATAGATTTTTCTAAATTCTTTTCTTTTCCTTTTCCATTTTCATAACATATGGCTAAACTAAACATTGCATCTTCATTACCATTTTCTGCTGCTATTTGATACCAATAAAAGGCTTTAGCTTCATCTTTTTCAATACCAATTCCTTTTTCATAATATAAACCAAGATTGAATTGTGCCTCTTTAATTCCATTTTCTGCTGCTTTTTGATACCAATGAAAAGCTTTAGCTTTATCTTTTTTAATACCAATTCCTTTTTCATAGTAAACACCTACATTAAATTGTGCTTTCTTATATCCATTTTCTGCTGATTTTTGATACCAATAAAAGGCTTTTTCTAAATTTTTTTCTGTTCCTTCTCCACTACAATATCTATTAGCTAAATTAAACATTGCAACTTCATTACCGTTTTCTGCTGCTTTTTGATACCAATCAAAGGCTTTTTCTAAATTCTCTTCTGTTCCTTCTCCATTTTTATAACATATGGCTAAATTAAACATTGCAATTTCATTACCATTTTCTGCTGCTTTTTGATACCAATAAAATGCTTTTTCTAGATTCTTTTCTGTTCCTTTTCCATTTTCATAACATTCAGCTAAACTCCTCATTGCATATTTATCGCCATTTTCCGCTACTTTTTTATACCAATAAAAGGCTTTTTCTAAATTCATTTCTGTTCCTTTTCCATTTTCAAAACAAATGGCTAAATTAAACATTGCAACTTTATTACCTTTTTCTGCTGCTTTTTGATACCAATAAAAGGCATTCTCTAAATTCTTTTCTGTTCCTTCTCCATTTTCATAACATATGGCTAAACTATTTATTGCTTTAATATAATCTTTTTTTGCTGCTTTTTGATACCAATAAAAGGCTTTTTCTAAATTCTTTTCTGTTCCTTTTCCATTTTCGTAACATTCAGCTAAACTATTCATTGCATATTCATCCCCATTTTCCGCTAATTTTTTATACCAATAAAAGACTTTTTCTAAATTCTTTTCTGTTCCTTCTCCATCTTCATAAAATATGGTTAAATTAAACATTGCAATTTCATTACCATTTTCTGCTGCTTTTTGATACCAATAAAATGCTTTTTCTAGATTCTTTTCTATTCCTTTTCCACTTTCATAACATTCAGCTAAACTATTCATTGCATATTTATCACCATTCTCCGCTATTTGTTTATACCAATAAAAGGCTTTTTCTAAATTCTTTTCTGTTCCTTCTCCATTTTCATAACATATGGCTAAATTAAACATTGCAACTTCATTACCATTTTCTGCTGCTTTTTGATACCAATAGAAGGCTTTTTCTAAATTCTTTTCTGTTCCTTCTCCATTTTCATAACATAGG